TTTAGCAAGACACAAGCACAGGTTAATGGCTAATATTTATATGCTGAGAGAGTCACTGTATGAGACTTATCTGTTATAGTGTTTATTTATTTGCAGATTGGCTTAGTTCTGAAGAAGTTGTTTGATGATGGAGTTGTGAAGAGGGAGGATCTGTTTATTACCTCCAAACTTTGGTAATCATACTGGATTAGTAAAGATTTGTTGGAATAAAAGACCACTGATTATTAGTGTTGAATCTTGCAATTGTTTTACGAAGATTGAGCAGGAAAACGGGATATGATTATGATATTGATATAAAATAATACTTTGTACTTGGATTTTTGAAAAATCCATTCCGGTTTGTGTTAACTTCCTCGAGTTCCAATTGCAGATACTTGGAGTTTCTTTCAAGTTTTAACTGTCTGGTTCATCGAGCCAATTGTTGCCTCCAACTTTCCTCCCAACCAAATCATATTTTGTGCACGTGTAAAATATTACTTGAGTTTCTTCCTCGCTCGTGCAGGTGTACAGATCATGCACCTGAAGATGTACCTGTGGCATTGGACAAAACACTAGAAGATTTGCAACTTGAATATGTTGATCTGTATCTTGTATGTTCTGTTTCTTCTATCTTTATTAAGATGGTTTTGTGTGAGTTTTGTCCGTTTGGATGTTGATAATAGATACATAGTATAAGGTGTGGGGCAAACAAATGAACCAACTTAATATTTGAATAAAACGCCAATAGTATAAAAATGAACATTTGAAACAAAAGCTTCAAATCCGTCAATACGAAATTAAGAGTTTTTTTATGCTGTCGTAAGTTTTTCTTTAATTAGCTTATTTGCTTTGGACAATATAATAAGTTACGAGTAGGAAGTGCATCGGCCTTGTGTTTTCTCCTTTGTGATATTTTAACGTTGTGTTTGGTAAGCATATAAGCTAGCTTATAGTTAGCTTATAGCTTATTTGGTTAGCTTAGTGTATTCAAGTAAGCTTGGTTTGGTAGTACGAGCTTATCTCATAAGCTTCCTAATGTAGCTTTTCAAATAAGCTTATTCAATATTTTGTATCAACTTATTTTTATCAAACACTTTTATCATATAAGCTAGCTTTTCAGCCATATATCATACGCTATGAGCTCGAAATTCACTTAAAAGTTACAAGTTGGCTTATTATCAGCTAGGTTTACCAAACATATCCTTAATGATTCTGATTCTGCAGATCCATTGGCCTGCACGGATGAAAAAAGGTTCTGTTGGCTTTAAGCCTGAGAACCTTATTCCCACTGATATTCCGAGCACATGGAAGGCCATGGAAGCACTCTATGATTCTGGCAAAGCAAAAGCTATAGGTGTTAGCAATTTCTCGGTGAAAAAACTGAGTAATTTGTTGGATGTTGCCCGCGTTCCTCCAGCTGTCAATCAGGTCGAATGTCATCCTTCTTGGCAGCAGGCAAAACTCCACGAGTTTTGTAAATCCAAGGGTGTTCACCTATCTGTGAGTAAAACAAAAATCTTTCTTGTTTGGATGCTGAATTGTTCCGTTTTAACCCAACCCAACAGGTAAAAAATTGTTTGGATATAAGTTTGTAACTCAACTCAACTCGCGTACTTTTTATAAATATAATTAAATAATACCAATCAATCATCCTCACACGTCGCATGTACTCAGAATTTTAACTATCTATCACTTCCAATAATCTCTCTCATATACATCACATCAAATTTAATCATTACATTTTAAATATTATTTAATATAAAACCTAAAATCATTCACTCAATCTACTTTTTTCATAATAACTCAATTTATCCAACTAAAAAAGGGTTAGAACGGAACAAATCTGTATCCAAAACACCCCCTAAAACTCTAAAAAAATTGTACAGTCAGTGTTGTTAACCTGGTGTTTCAAGTTTTTTAGGGTTATTCGCCATTGGGCTCTCCTGGCACAACACGACCGAAAAATGAAGTCCTCAAGAACCCGGTTTTAGCTGCTGTTGCTGAGAAATTAGGTAAAACGACAGCCAAAGTCGCGCTTAGATGGGGTTTGCAGATGGGTCACAGCATTCTTCCCAAGAGCACCAGCGAGTCGAGGATTAAAGATAATTTTGATGTCTTTACGTGGAGCATTCCGGATGATTTGTTCGTTAAGTTTTCTGAAATCGAGCAGGCAAGTTATTCATGTTATCATTTGAATTTTCTAAGATAATATGTTTTTTTTTTTTTGCCGGATTTATTATGAGATGTTTGTTTGTGAACTTGTTGCAGGAAAGGCTGATCAAGGGTTCTTCGTTTGTCCACGAGACGCTAAGCGAGTACAAAACTTTTGAAGAGCTTTGGGATGGAGAAATCTGAGCTTATGATTTCTGGTTCTGTTTTTCACATTACAGCAGATTAATGTTGAGAAATCTCTCTCTATCATTTACTTTGGTTTGATAAACAGTAGAATAAGAAAGGGGGATAATCAATTCATGCTTACAAAAACACCACAATTATAATCAGGTCTAATTAATTTTATGTTTTTTTTTTTTTTTTTTTTTTTTTTTTTTTTTTTTTTTTTTTTTTTTTTTTTAACTAAGTCTCTTCACTTGTAATTGTATTGGAAAATATATATATATATATTTTAATATTGAGCTTATTTTCACTGTGGCATGTGATTTTTTTGAATGAATATAAAGTATTTGTGTATGCTCTTAGTGCTGTTAAATTAAACGAGCCGAACTCGAGCGAATTCGAGGTCTTAATGAGCTGAGCTCGAGCTCATTTAAAGCTTGTTTGGCTAATGAGCCGATAAGGCTCGAAAATAATATTTTTAAATAATTTTTACAGTTCGGCTCGTTAAGGCTCGAGCTCGAGGCCTTAACGAGCTCAAGCTCGAGCTCGATTTCAGTCTCGTTTATCTAACGATCGGATCGGGTCGTTAAGAGCTCGAACACCCTAAACTCGAGCTCATCTCGTTTACAGCCCATGCTCATAAAACTGAATAGCCAACATTTTAAATCAAGTCAAGCTCGATTCATTAAGTATCTTTAGATTTGATAAATGGAGATTTTTCTCGCAAATAAACTTTTTAGCATAATTGGGTTCATTATCCGTGGTTTTATTTTGAATAAAGGGTTTTCTTTAATTTTTTTAATTTCTAGCATATAACTCAATTAATGACACGAATTTTACTCAATAAATCTCGTTAACGAGCTCAACTTTTTTTTTTTTTTTTTTTCAAACGATAGAATTTATATTAACACTAAAACTCGGACAAAGTTCGGAAGTTCAAATACAACCAGAGAGCACCATGAGAGACACACAAACAATGTGGTCTAGAGACTCAACCAACACTACAGCTAAGGCGGGAATACAACCACCGTGACTTTACCCAAGCACACTATAACAAAATCAAACAAAATCAAAATCAACGCTACGAGCCTAACTTTGACTCCATAAATCTCGTTTACGATTTCGTATTCGTTTTCTCTTCCTCCTCTACGCTAAAAAAATAAAAATAAAGAAAAAAGGAAACGCCGAACAATGGCCGAGGAGCTTCGATATTTTGAGCTGAACAGCGGCGCCAAAATACCTTCCGTCGGGCTCGGCACGTGGCAGTCGGAGCCGGGGCTCGTCGGCCTAGCTGTCGAAGTAGCTATTAAGGTCCTTCTCTTTCTCCTCGTGTGTGTGTGTGTGTGTGTTAATTGCAAAGTTGCAACCAGCTTCATGACTTCTAGTGTTTAGCATCTGCTTTGAGCTTGTGTTTTTTTGTTTCGATTTTTGTGAGAGAAAGTGGGCCTTTTTTTTCTGATGGGTTTTGTTTTGTGTGATGCGATTGATCCTCTCAGTGTAACTGAGATTCACAGCGTTTCGATTAGGTTATAATTAGTTTATTTCTTTTCCTTTTTTTTTTTTCACGAAAGAAGAAATTGGAAAGGGGTTTTGCTTGGAAAATGTGTTTGGATTGAGCCATTGAGGGATTTGGAGGGATGGATTTGAAAAAATGTCATCTTTATATGTGCAAGCTACACAAAATCATATTGATGTCATGATGTATGATGAGGGCTGTAAACGAGCTGGAGCTTGGCTCGTCCATCAATATTAGCGAGTCTTAACAAGCCGAACTATAGAAAATTATATTAAAATTCTTATTTGAGCCGAGCAGAGCCCACCTCATTACCTCAACAAGCATTCAATGAGCTCGAACTTGGCTTGTTTATCAAACGAGCCGAGCTCACGAGCGGCTCATTTCGTTTAACAACTCTATTTTTGTGTGTGTGTTTTATGCAAACAGCTTTCTGACTTAGTGTGTAGGATCTGCTTTGAACTTGTCTTATTTTGTTTAGATTTTGATGAGAAATGCAGCTTAAATCTAATGGAAAGTGACATTTCTTGTTGGGTTTTATTGTTTCTGTTATGTGATTCGATCCTTTCCGTACACAAGCATACCTCAGTTGCTCTCAAAATAATCCACTAGTAATGTTTCAGCATAAGTGAGAATTCACAGAGTTTTGGTTGGGTTCTAATTAGTTAATTTCTTTTTTTTCTTCCCGAAAAAATAGAATTCGAAGTGAAGGATTTGAAAACTGTCATCTTTATATGTGGAAGCTATACAAAATCATATCATGTGTGTGCGTGTGTGTGTGAGAGAGAGAGAGAGAGAGAGAGAGAGAGAGAGAGAGAGAGAGAGAGAGAGAGAGAGTCTTGATCTGCTGCACCTGCTATTTGTAGGCCATGCTAAGTACCAACGTTTAAATTTCGGACAATTTCTTATCACAGAGTGGATACCGCCATATTGACTGTGCCCGAGCTTATGGTAATGAGAAGGAGGTAATATCATCATCTACCGCCTTATAATTTTTTCGTTTTACTTCACGAATTAGTGTTGGTCATAATGATTTTTTTTTAGTATGTTAGTAAGGGGAAAATGGATTTGATCATCATTCCTAAAAGGTCTAGCAAATATTTCTACCGTGTAAAACTATTTTTAGTTTAATTGTCTTACATTATATATATGTATTTTTTTTTTCTTCTTTTCCTTTTCAGATTGGTGCAGCTCTGAAAAAGCTGTTTGACGATGGAGTTGTCAAGAGAGAGGATTTGTTTATTACCTCTAAACTCCGGTAGATAATGTGCTTAGATAACCTTTAGTTTTTTGTTGATTCATATACTATTTAGCCTAGTTTCTTGATCTTTACTTTAACCGTAGGTCGTGTGACCAAGCGCCCGAAGATGTGCTCGAGGCATTCAACAAAACACTACAAGAATTACAACTTGACTATGTTGATTTATACCTCGTAAGTCATATGTTAGTTACACTGGCCTGTATCGATTCGAGTTTTTTCCTCCTCCTTAGTTGAATACAAATATATCTGCTCAAAATGAGTTTTTTTAGTTAACCATGATTAATTATGAAAAAGCTTATATGGATTTTGAATTTATCTTAAAATAATATTTTAAAATAAAATAATTAATATTGGTTTGATGTAGAAGTAGGAGAGAGATGATGTGATTGATGGTTAGTTTAAGTTATGTGAGTGAATGAATATTAAATTAAAATTGATGTGATGTGTAAGAATGATTGGTTGATATTATTTAATTATATTTATAATACTAAGGATAGTTGAGTTGGTTTAAAATTGAGTTAGAATTTGAGTATGAATTGATTATGTGATGAGATAATTTATAAACAAATAGTATGTGGAAATTCAAAGCAATTCAATTATTTCAATATCAAATTCTTAACTTTTTTTTTTTCCTTTTTTTAAAGATTCATTGGCCATTTCGAATGAAGAAAGGTTCGACCAGCTTTGACCCAGAAAACTTTCTCCACACAGACATACCCGGGACATGGAAAGTCATGGAAGCCCTCTATGATTCGGGTAAATCCCGAGCAATTGGCGTTAGCAATTTCTCGGTGAAAAAGCTCGACGACTTGTTGACTGTGGCCCGTGTCACGCCAGCTGTCAATCAGGTCGAATGCCATCCCGCATGGCAACAGGCCAAGCTAAGGGAATTTTGTAAATCCAAGGGAATTCACCTATCTGTAAGTTGCCCACAAAAAGAAAGTCCTTTGCCATTTGATTTAATTTACTTTTGTTTCGATTTGAAACTTCATTTTTCTCTTGTCGATATAACAATAGGGATATTCACCATTGGGTTCGCCGGGCACAACATGGCTCAAGAGTGAAGTCCTCGAGCAGCCCGTTTTAGTTGCTGCTGCTGGAAAACTGGGCAAGACTCCAGCACAGGTGGCTATAAGGTGGGGCCTCCAAATGGGCCACAGTGTACTCCCCAAAAGCAAAAACGCATCGAGGATCAAAGAGAATTTCGATGTTTTTAGTTGGTCCATACCGGATGATTTGTTCGCCAAGTTCTCCGAAATCGAACAGGTTAGGCTGCTATGTTTGGTAACCAAATAAGTAAGTTAGCTTATTTGGTTAGCTTATAAGCTTCACGTATCCAAATAAACTTCATTTGGTATGACGAGTTTTTTTAAAAAACTTGAGCTTATCTTATAAGCTTCTTTTGTAGCTTTTCAAATAAACTTATTGAAATTTTTATTTCAGCTAACTTATCAGCTAATTATACCAAACACTTTTGTCATATAAGCTAATTTTTCAGCTACAAGTCATAATCTACAAGCTATTAGCTCAAAAATCACTTATAATCTATAAGCTAGTTTATCGGCTAATTCTACCACACGTAGCCGAAATGCTTTCTTGTTTGACGATACAGTTGATAGTGCCACCACACATTCGATATTTTTTTTT